CTGCTGAAATTTTCAATTTTCCACTATGTTGGTGGTTTGGTGCTTGAGATGGTGTTGATCGGTTTTCCTCTCTATTATATGGTGGTGGTTGTCTCTTGAAATTGATGGGATTGAGGCCTTGGGCTATTTGGTGCTTGTCTCTTGTAATTGGAAAGGTAGTGTTGATCAGTTTTTCTCTATTATAAGGTGGTCATATGCTGATTTTATGTGTGCAGCTGGCCATTGTCATTTGGCATCATTATGATTTTTTTGGTGGTATGTTATGTGGTGGTGCCATTTTTACCTATTTGTTTCTCCAAAATGAGTAATTATTATCATTTGAGTTAGGCATTAACTATCACATTAAATTTTAAAATGAAAAACTTTAGCATCACATATCTAAATTCTACTACTGGGTTTGCAATGGAGTACAAAAAATGACGATGCAATTTTGTTGGGAATCTTCAAAATTATCATCATTATTTGATTTATCTCGCATCTAGAGGGGAATTTACATGCACGTCACATAATTCTTATGCATGTTCATATCTTCCATCTAAAATTTAGATATGTTATGTTAAAGGTTTGAGTGTTATATAAGTAAAAATTAAAGTTTAGATGTTTCATATATATTTATATATGAATTATGTAATGGTGCTTTAGTTCTTGTTATTTATGTCGTGGTAGCGGTTCGGTGATTGTCTCTTGAAATTGAAGAGGTTGTGCACTTGGGCTTTTTGATTTAACTCTATGTGGTTATTTGGTTCTCTATTTTTAAATTTGAAGTATTGTTTGAAGGGAAATTGACATGCACATCACACAATTCTTATGCATGTACATATCTTCCATAAAAAATTTAGATATGTGGTGTTAAATGTTTGAGCATTATATAAGTAAAAAATTAAAGTTTAGAAGTCTGATATTTATTTATATATGAATTATGTGATGGTGCATTGGTTATTGTTATTTATGTGTTGATGGTTGTTTGATGTTTGTCTCTTAAAATCGAAGTCGTTGTGCACTGGGGCTTTTAGGTTTACCTCTATGTGGCGGTTCAGTTCTTGATATTTAAAATAGTGTTGTTTGAAGGGGAATTGACATGCACATCACACAATTATTATGTATGTACATATCTTTCATCTTAAAATAATAGGTAGGTGTGGCTTTGATTTTGGTTTTGGTTGTGGCAGTACTATTCACTTGTGAAGTACCAAGGCACGACCTCTTCTATTTAAATCTAGCAAGTATAAATTCTTTTCTGGTTTCACGAAACACTGAAAGATTGACTAATGCATTTGATTTTTTGTGGCCTTGTATTGATGGTTTTGAAGTGTGTAGCTTTGACACGTTTGGTTTTTGAAATGTTATGTAGAGCAATAAGAGTAAAAAAAAACAAAGCTCAACCAATAACTAATTGTAACTTACATAATTGTCTCTCCCTGTTAGCCACAGATACTACCTGATCTTAGATCACACATATTATTATTAACTAAACATACTACTTGGCCTTAGATCACGGATATAACCTGATCTTAAATCACACGTGCTACTGTTAAACACAAATACTATTAGGTCTTAAAGCCCGTGTGATACAATTGGTCATCGGATGGAGCATTCTTTGATAAATTAATCTCGCAAAGATTTAATTCAAATTTCTGATTTTTTGTCAAATTTTATTTTAGTTTTTATATTTTTTTTATGTTTAAATAATATTTCTTCATCTAAATGCCTTAAGTGCATGATACATTAGATGGTAAGCAAAAAATAAGGTGAAATATCAGTCATTTAGGATAGTGAGACAAAGATCATATTCTGTGATTTATGTTTGAGAGAGATAGAAATTGGTAATAAAACCATGCTCTTCAATAAGGAAGAATGACAAAACATCACCAAAAACTTTTATGAAAAAACAGAAAGATTATATCACAAAACTCAGTTGAAAAGCAAATGGAATCAACTGAAAAAATATTTAAAATTATGGAAAAAGTTTAAGAGAGACTCTACTAGACTAGATTAGGACCCTGATAAAAAAATAGTGGATGCATCAGAAGAGTGGTGGAGAGAAAAAAAAATTCAATAAATAAAAATGTACTATTGAACTTCGATTTTTGTGAAATGTAATTTAATTAAACTACAATTTTATTAATTATAGGTCCTACCCAATAAAAAAAAAATAAAGTTTTTGGTATAGACCTTGACTTTGACTGGAGGAGAAGGTTAATGCTTTCTTTCTTGGTGTTGTAATTATAGGCACCAATGTCAGGGTTACAACACAAGCCCCACTCAGAATTTGGACGAGCATGAATATGCTCATTGCAATGAAGTCCAAGAGAAAGAACCGGAAGAGAGAGAGCAAGGTGAATCAAGTCAGAACGCCCTGCAGCCCCCACCCAAAAGGGTAAAAAGAAAATGAAGACGGGCAGCACAATTATTTAAGCGGATATCACATCTTGTTACGACCTGCGTCGGTACCACATCCAGTGCTCACACAACTTTGCAGGGATACCCAAGTAAGATAAATGTTGTGAAGCTACTGTACTCTACTCCGATGATATCTGATGATGTGTTCCTGCATTTATTCATTATAAACTTCTAGAGGATTGAAAGAAGCGGAAGATTTTCTTAACTTGATGTGGAACGGATGATTCCTTACCTCCAAATTTTTTTAGACAATCAGTCAAGTCCGTTTGTCGTTGTAGTCAAGTTAGTTTGCCTTTTTTATTACTATTTTGGATTGTGGTTCATAATAAATTATATTTTTAAGTTGAACATTATGAATTATTTCAACATTTATTTTCAATTCTAGCATAAGTTGTCTTTTTTATATATTCTAACATGCACACAAAAGCTAGATGAACCCATCAAATGAAGAAGAAATTATAGAGAGTTGAACAAGCAACGATTCTAACCACAACAATGTCTTATTAATGAGTACTATCACATACATTTGTGCAAGACACCTGGCGTGTCATCATCATCTGTGAGTGACAAGTGGGTTGACGAGCTACACAAAGCTCATTGAAGCAAAATTCGTGTGTCGAGAATAAATTCCTATGATTTGTTGGATGAATTGCAGAGTATTTATGGTTTGCATGGATCGTCCGGTTTTACACACAGAGAAGTTCTAACTATCATACGATACGTCATGTCACAGAATGAATCCATTCATGTTGTTTTCAAGCAATTCCAACACTCCACAAAGAATATTAGCAAATATTTTGATATTAAGATTACTTTTTTAGTAAAAAATTTAACCAATATTTTGAAACCTGTATATCCTACTTTTGTGCAAAAAATGAGAGAAATCCGTAGTGACATAAGATATATGTCATTCTTCAATGTATAACAAATTCTCTTTATTTTGGCATTAGTATTTTACGATAAAAAAACAAAATTGTCTAACATTTTTTTTTTTTAATATGATTGTATCGGAGCAATTAATGGCATAAATGTCAATGCACGTGTTAAGAATGATGAAAAAATTGCATATATTGGATAGTGTGAAGCTACTGCACATAATATCTTAGCAGTTTGTGATTTCGTGTTTTAAGTTTGTGATGGTTGAATGAGAATGGAGTGTTCATGATAACCGAATATTCAAATTTACAATCCAGTGATATGATTATCAATTTCTGATATATCAACTAGATTAGTACATTTGAGACTGTATAGAAAGTGTTTGATTTGAGAATATGTTGTAATGATGCTATTATTCAGAAAAATATTACCTTGTCGATTCGAAATATCCATTACAACAAGGTTCTTAAAGCCCTTCCTGACATGATGTATCACCTTCCTGATTTTAAGCGCAACAGTTAAGTGGTTAGAGGAAAGAATGAATTGTTCAATTAAAAACGCTCGTCATTATGAAGTGTTATCAAAAAAATATTTCGTGTATAAAAGAAAAAATCACTCATACTCTAAGATATGTCAACATATGCCTTCAAAAAATAGGTAAATATAGTTATTGTAACAACAACGCTATATAATTTTATACGAAGGCATCCATCTTGAGACAATATTGATTTCAAGGTCTTAGAAAAAAATCCAATATGTATACTTGTGGAAGCATTTGAATAGTGGGTCAGATAATTATTGATGAACTTTGGTACAAATGACTTTAATAAATCTGAGAGGGGGATGCACAGGGTACTTTCTATATTTTTTTATTATGAACCCAAATATTTTTAATTATTCTATTACAAATCTAGTTTATTTTGCCAAACAAAAACATAATGTGTAATAATCACATGAAAAATAAATTCAAGATCAATTACTCTAAGAGCTATGTATTGTCATTGTAGCATGTCGTATTCTGAGTAAAGATCAAGAAAAGATGATGATTATGAGAAGAGATTTTTATTATTCCAGAAATAGGAAATGTGAAATTTGCAGGTATTTTAGTAGGGTTGATGATACAGATCTTCAAATAGTGATCAAGTGAATAGAGATGTTGTGGACAAGGAATTAATTCGAAGACTTGATCATTTAGACTTGAAGGAGAACGTCATATAATGTTATTTGTTATTTTTGTGGTTCTTATTATTGTTGTTTAATGCATGAAACGACAGGTCAAAATTGATTTATTGGAGAAATTTAGACTCCTTATGAGTTTTTTGTATTGTTAATCTTGTTTTTATTATTTTGTTGCAATTCTTTTGAAACAAAATTTATTCGGATAAATTACATATATATATAATGGCAAAATAGTATTTTTCATCAGAAATAGCTGCAACATAGCACATTACCCAAACGGTTTCCAATTATTCCAGCAGCAGCTTTCTGACAACAACTGTGAAGCTCCTTCTTAAAAAAAATACTTCAAAAAGCAGTTGTCACTCCAAACACACCATTCAACTTTTATCTTGAAATTAGAAGTGCCTCAACTATTCCCACAAAAATTTGCATGTTATTCGCCGTGAGCAAAGAAAAAAAGTTTAACCCATGTTTGTGTTCTTCAAAAAATCCTCAAAGTAAAAACCTAATTGAAACTTCCATCAATAATGAAGAACTAGAAATATCAATTGCCTTAAGATAAAAAAGTGAATTAGTGCACCAATCATTTTTCATAGAAGTTTGTCTCATATGTTAATCTTTCCCAAGCTTCCAAACCCTTATCAACAATCTTCATCAATGGAGGTTCTCGGTTTTACATACGAGGCTATATAAAATTACTATATTGAAAATTACTATCATGGAGGACGAGGCTATCAAAATTCCTTTATAAAAAACTATTACAATGGAGGAAATATAAGTTATTGAATAGAATAACCGAGAGATTAATGTTGGACCAACCTTTTTAAAGACTAAAAGTGATGGAATCGTCGTGTCCTTTATAGGATCCTCAGCAGATCTTCACAGAATCCACAAGAAATTTTCATGGGACCTTCACAGGTTCCTTACAGGATCTTCACAAATTCCTCACAAGATAATCATGAGTTCTTCTAGATCGGTGATCAAGGAGATGAAGCAAATATCCAAGTTAGCGAGAGAAGTAAAGGAGCAAGCTTAGAGTGACAAAGCAAAGTGCAAAGAAGCTAACAAGGCATGAATCAATAAATCCCAAGGAAAAGCAAGATCGCAAGCAAGCATGGCGAGTGAGTGAAACAAGGTGTGTCAGAGGCAAGCAAAAAAGGCCTATGCAAGCAAATGAAGCAAGAGTTGGCAAATAGAAAAACAACTAGTTACAATCAAAAAAATCACACGTGATTAGATCCTCGCATGATCCCCAAACATAATGGATCCTCCATAGGATCTTCAAGCAAAAACAATGACAAAGTCTTAAAGGAGGTAGTAATAAAATATAATAGAATAGGCATCTCCTCAAGCTTATATATATATATATATATATATATATATTCATTTGAATGATCCAAATGTTAATATAAATAGACCTATATAGAGATTAAAATGAAGAGAAATAAGGAAAGTACAATAAAGAAGAATATCATTCATAATAAGGATATATTACAATAATCAATACTATAGTTTTTTAATTAATAATAAACATATATGAAAAAATTAATATCGTAACAAGTGATGAACGCTGCAATTATTCATTAATCAATAGTGCATGTTAGATTATTTATATTTTACCTACAGAATTATTATTCTTGCATTGCATAAATTAAATATTTCACAATTATCTTATTGTTTGGATTTTTACGTGTAACTTAGATGTTCACTAATTTAATTGGCTTAGAATGTATGGTTGGGCAACCAATTCATATTGAGCTTAATTTAATCAACTATTATAGAGCTTAATAGTAACCAACTTGCACTTTTAATTCTCCAACACCTTAAGTTTTGCTAGTGTGGTGTCACACTAAAATTATATTATTTGATTGCATGTGTGCCTATTCTAATGTTTTCAGTATAACATCATTAAAATTGAGCTCTATAAAAAATATGACTACCTTGCTTCCAATAATAATACACTTTTGTTTATTTAATAGTTATGCTAATTATTTTCATTAGTGTTTTAAGTAAGAGGATTTGAATTAGCATGGCTTCAAAAGAAGTCAATCATGCCTGATGCACACCCAATTCACAATTATCTTCTTGTTTGGATGTGCATGCTTGTTTAACTTAGATATTTTGTGGTTTACATTGCTTAGCTTGTATAATTGTGTAATCAATTCATATTGAGCTTAATAGTAATTGACTCATCCACTTGCTTAATTAATTTACCTACACGTTGTGTTCACTTGAACGGTGCAAAACTCAATGGTTTTATTTGATTACAAACATGCATATTCTTGAGTGCAGCATCATTAAGGATGTGGTTGTCATTGAACACTCTTAATGTTAGTTTATATACATTACATATATTTGCTTATTGCAAAGTAGCCTCCAAAGTATTTGATTTTCATATCAATTACATTCATCGTTGTTTGGATTGTAAGGCTTTGAATTTATAAAATTTAAAAACTTTTATAAAAAGAAGTTAAACTACCCCATGCATACACACGCCATGATTCAATAAATCGTGAAGCAAAATCAAGTAATGAAAAATTAGCATGCTCACCTTTTCGTGAAATGAAACTAAAGCTCAAACAGAAAATAGATCACTTATATATTTACATACTCAGACTAAGTTGAAGTAGCCACATCATATGAAATCGATGAATTATCTTAAGCAATTCAACCCAGTGATTAAGTCAAAGAAATTTTTACCAATGAAATGACCAACATGCCTCTAAGACTTTCTTCTTTAAGAAATATTACGTAGGACCATAGGTTGAACCTAGAATACAAAAAAGATCTTTAGGAAGAAACCAAAAAAAAATCATTTTTTCAAACAGATATTGGAGAACTCGGATAATTTAACTCCTTCAGTGCGTGCTCTAAAATAAGATCATGCTAGATTATGTAGGTATATTCGAATGGATGAGGGAGGCCTGCACAACAAAAAAGACTAGAGTGAAGAAGATATTGTGGAAACCCAGCACAATATATTTATCGGCCAAATTGTTAGCAAGATGTGAGTAAATATATCAAAAGGTGCCTACTTTACAGCACCTCCAAACTAGCAAATCGGAAGTCAGGATTGCACAGGCCACTGCACATATTAAACATCTATGGGAAAGCATCTTTACAAATTTTTTGAGAGGTTTTCCAGACATAAAGAGACATCATGACTACCGTTACGTGATTGTGGACTGATTTTTTAAAATAGTAGTTCTCATTTATTGCAAAAAATCAATCACAGCGAGCAAGTGGCCAAACTTACTACAAAGTACCAACTTTCATTATGTCTATTGGAAATGCTTGATTCCTAAGTTGGTTCAAGGACTTCATGCCATTAATATCAAAATATAGAAAAATAACCACCTTCATTCATAGACAACCAAATGGAATAAACTCAGTTCATTTTTAATAGAGTTGTGTGCTCCCCCATAATGAAGACAACATTTAAAGTTTGTTTCTCCATTTCAATTATTGATGATGCAACTGAAGTTGACTAGGAAATAAGTCAGAGATCCTAGCGGGCATCTGCAAAATTTGAACATTGGAAGGAAGCAGCTGTAGAAGACTGCAAACATAAATTCAAAGAAAAGCATAATCACATCATGCCAAAGCCGACTTTGGAATAGAAGATCTTGACTTTTTACATTTAAGCAATTATTGTATAAAAGGAAAAGGATAAGGAAAGAGATTACAGCCAATAAGTATAGGTCACTTAGAGTTTTCAAGAAGAATGGATATATGCTCACTAAGTGGAATTGCCTACCTATAGAAGATGTATAGGTAATATATGTGCGGAATTTAAATCCTCGTGAACCTTTCATGTTTTATGATGGCTCTTATGAAATCCTGTATGCACTAAATGAAATACTCTTGGAGTTAGAAGCACTAATAGAACTAAATATTCGCTTGGAGTGACTAGCACCATTACAGTTTAGCCAAAAGAGATATTCCATATTGGCAAGAGAAACCTATCACCAAAAAAATCCAAATGATACGTTATGAAATCCAAGCATTCATCTTTCCCTTATATGGACTTTTAAGGGTTCATTTAGGGCAACTTTTTTAAGGCTTTATAAACTAAATAGTTATCAAAATGTTGTTTGGCTACAGACCGACACTTTGTAATGACTATATCGACACTTTGAAATAATGAAGCGTGTCAAATGCTTGCAAGAGATGTGTTCTTGCTCAATACATATACGTCATGCTATCTTCGTGTTTGATAAAAAAAAATTAAAGAATAATGTATCCAACTCACTAATCATGAATAATGAATAGTTTCGGCAATCTCTTCTATTTATTTTCAAACATATTGTTTAAATGTAGCTTAATAGCTACTTAGCATTAATTTTATTTGCCTTATTTTAATTTATCGTCTTATTATTATTTTTATAATGTTTAGTTTTTATTAACTTCAACCAAACTATCTATAATATCATATAACTACTTATTTAATTGAATTAAGACATTTAATAAATAAATAAATATTTTTATTATATAAATAATTGAACTAAATTTATTATTATATGAATTCAATTAATATTTATTTTATTTGCGTACATCTAACAAAAAAAAATGTAGTATTATAATGTTGTAACCAATACATGTTAGGGTCATATATATTCAATCATAGACATATCTCGTGTTCATGTTATGTTGTGTACGTATTTTCAAAATTTGTATCAGTGCATCATATGTTATAAATTCTTGTTGAATTTTAAAAATTTAAGTGTTGAGAACGATATTTTTACAATCATGCATGCCAGATTGTGGTAACTTTAAACAGGTTGCATGCCTTTTCCAAAGAGAAAATATCTAATACATGAAACAACTTTCTCACAATAGCTTTATCGTTATTTCTAGAGACAGCTGCAACTGCCCTCATAAAAAGCCTTTATTTCATAGAAGTGAAATCCTCCTACGTTGAGAACCCTAATATGAGAATTAGCTATAATAGGATATCAATCAGATAATCTATGATCATGAGTTGAGAATAGTATCGTGTAAAGATCAAAAAAATCATATTTGTTGTAGTTTTAATGATTTGATTTCTCATTGAAAATTACCAATGATGGTGACTATCCAATCACACTATTGAGATCGAAAAGAAAGTTTATGGGATTGTATGAGCGCAATAAAATCATTGATAAAGCATCCTGTGAGGGGGATCAAGACTGGAATTTGGATCATTGTACAAAATTTTATTTAATCATATGATAAGAATTTATTTAAAATTTTAAACTAGTTTGAACAAATTCTATTTGAATGTAAATTCATATTTAGATAATTCTTACAAAAGGCTTAGTTTAATTTGAACCTATAGTTTATATATAGTTATAATGTCAAAGAAGTGACAAATGGTTATGAAAGGCCGATCAAACCATACAAATGAACGTGGATTAGATATACAACCCTTCTGATGATGTGGATTTAGGGAACGAGATCTCATTGAGAGGCTCAAGATCTTCGCCATTAGGGCAACCGTGTACCCTTCGTCTTCCAACAAGTACTTAAGCCTTGCTCCATAGGCATCAACGATGTCGAGATATGTCCCTCAGCTTGATGAGATGTGCCCTTTGAGGGCTCAACCTATGTGTTCTAACATTCCCTTCTCTTCTAGGGTAACATTACACCTGATTCCTTTGGTTTCACACCAGACCATCGATCCATTAATGGTGGTGGTTGGATTGAAATTTGATTTTGCTTGCAGGTTTGTGTGTTCGGGTATTGTAGTTTTGGACTTGCAGAAGCTTATATAATGCTTTTTGAATAGTTGGATTTATATCGCTGACATTTCTCGAGAAAATATTGTATGGTTGATATTCATCAACTTTCATAAATCTTATGAAACAACTAAATATTATGTATACGATTACACACACACACGCACATAACTCCCTCTTTTGTTTTCCATTTCTTCTTCTTCTTACCCTTACCAAATCGTGTAGCTCATAATTATCTTGATCGAGATCATATAGGCAGCTGCCAAAGGCTTTGCAAGGCTCCCTTAGTTTGCAGTGTTGGTCTTGCTACTATGCTAGCATTGTCTCTACCTTGCCACTTATCGACTTATGCAAAAGATTGCTTCATTGTAGTTTGTGATTCATATCGTTGTGTGATTGCTCTTGCTTAATAGTTTTTGCAAGTTTGTTGCTTCTTTGCTATTGTTCTGTTATTATTGTTATTGCTTTTGTGCTGAATTTTATGGATATTTTTACATTGATTTTTATGATTGTTTAGTTTTGATTATTGTCATTGCTTGTAGTGCCATTTTCAGTATCATGATCAACTGCTGAAGGCTGTTCGCAAATAGCACAACTCTCCGAGGAGTAAGAATGTCATTATTTCATTTTTATTTACAACAATATAAGACTTTATTCACTATCAATTTCCAATGGAGGAAAAACTCAAGAATAGGGAAGAAAATATATTTACAGTGAAAAAAGAAAAGAAGAGGGTTTGAAAATCATTGATGATGATTAATTTTTTATCCCCTAAGATAATTTATTGGTCCAACGTATACACATTTGTAAACAAATAAATGGTCATTATGGGGTCGGAGAAGAAGCTAACAGAACCAAGGGGTCTTGACAACCCATTTCTTGGAGCAATAGTAGTCGAGTACGAATTGTCGAGCTGACTCGCGGAGCACCAGCTAACAAATACTAGTCGTCGAGTACCCGTGGCAAATGAGAGAGCAAGCAGTATGCGACCAATCACATTCAACTGAGGGCTAATCAATTTTCCACGTCACTTTAGTATGGAGTCATTAGGATGCATCAACAGACATCATCATATTGTACTGTATTTATTTATTTTTTTTTTTTTGTAAACTGACAAGGGAGAGAGACCATCTTAATCCCTATAAATAGAGATGATCTCTAAAAAATAAGAGGACCTCTCTGTCTCTCTCTCTCTCTCTCCATCTCTCTCTCCATTTTTTTTATCAAATGAGTGTGCATTCTTTCCCTGTTTGTTTCCTTTACAGGCCTTGCCGAGATTGTACAAGCCCACAGACATTTTGGTATCCAGCAACATTCCTTCTAGCTCAATCTTATTAAAGTTCGGCATGACTTAAATCTGACTCAAGTCAGGTTTCATTTTTTAGTAAACTTATTGACTCTGATTCTAGCTTGATTTAAGCTGGCATAAACTTAATTTGACCAATAATTTTGCGTAGAGGTCATTGGATCTAATTCAAGCATGTTTGGGTGTCCATTTTATCAAACCAATAATAGTATACCTTTCATCTTTCAATAGGAGCTTCGAGTTCATGTACTTTCGCAAAAATTGTGTTTAATCGGCCATAATTTCTAAATAAATAGCATTAAGATTCATTACAAAAATCAAGAAATGTAAATGTGTCATGTTTGGGAGACGTTTTTAAGTACCAGAATGGAGATTGTACTTGAAGATGATTGTTACCGTGAATTCTTAAGTAAACGTACTGTAATTTGTCACTTCCTTGAATAAATCTGAGACAATAATTCATGTAGAAAGCCAAAACACGGATAAATCATTAATTCCGTCCAACTATAACAATTTCAATGATTAACCAAAAAACTTCAGTCCCAAAATGGAAGTTCTAATCCGAAACTAAAACCTAGCAAAGTCAGAACCAGAAAAAAAAACAAAAACAAAACGAACAAACAAATTTAAACAAAAAAATCATATCTAGCTGCACAATATATAATTCGCCTCACAAAGCAAAAAAAAAAAAAAAGACAGATTACAGAATGTACAAACGAAAAAAGACAGACATAAAAATGAGGGATCCAGCTCACCATTAATACAAGAAGAGCGACCTTAGCATAGACGCTCCGTTAGTTCTCCCTTCACTGTTCCTCCGGTCGGATAAGGCGGAGAAACCGCCGCGATTCAGCCAAGGGAAACGTCTGGACAGCAGGTTGGTAGCTAGTGAAATTCTTGCAGACCCTAGAACTGAAAGAGTACAGAACGTGGGAGCTACCCATAAGGCCGCACGGGGGCACTACGGAACGGGAATGAAAGAAAACGTTATTGTTATTAGATTTATCTTTTAAAGATAGGATCTTAAAAGTTCTAAGATAACCAAATGAATGTTTTTTGTGCAAATAACTCATGACTCATAAGGACTTTGAGTCAACTAAAAAAACCTTATTTGATTTTAATAAGTAATGGAAAATTTGTGACGATAGAGTAACAAATTATCATCTTAGTGTTATACGAGAATTCAACACACACATAGATGAAATAGAAGCAAGCGGTGACGACTCTATAATTTTTTTACGTGGAAGACCCGAAAAGGAAAACAACCATGGGGACTGACTAAATTGTGAAATTTTACTATTGATTTATGATTATAGAAATCCCTTGTTCCACCGACAAAAAAGAGTAACTATATTTTTCAGATTATAGTGTCAGCTATCGTCGTCTAGTTGGTGGTGATTTACAACAGTTTGTAGTTGTCGATAATGGTAGGCGGGTATCAGCGGTGGTCGACGACAGTGAATGATGATCGACGGTAGTCGACAGAGGTCAGTGGTGATTGGCGGTGGTCGACGAAGGTTGACAGAGGTCGGTGACGGTCGCCGACGGTCGATGGGGGGCGACGACGTGTGGGGTCGCGGACGGCCGACAACGATCTATGATGACAGAGATGATGTTAGATTTGAGCTTCTTCTCAAAGCCTCAAATTCTCTCAACAACCTCCTTCTTCATGTGAGGGGTGAGGCTCTATTTATCGTGTTTTGGGTTCAATTAATGCAGGAATATGAATTATTTTTATCGGATGACCAGGAGAGCTTCTCTCGATCAGATGGTGTTTGATGGACATTTGATGCCTTAATGATGTCGGAATTGAGCAATCTCGGGCTCGTTGCATTTGTCTTGTCAAGACGCACGATTCAACTGTGAACTCGCTAGATTCAACATTTATTTGACCATTCAAATATGTTTAGAAATCCTCTAATAGTGATTTAATGATTTCATTTGGGTTTGATCAAACTCGGATTGGACTAGTTTTGATATGATTGTGTTCGTCTCATCAAGCCGGTCAGTTTGACTATAAGTTTATTAAAATCGAAACTATGAATGACTTTTTATCAAGATTTGAATATTTTTTGCTCAAAATAATGTCTCGAGATTCGTGTCATACCTCGAGATTTGTGTCATACCTCAAAATTCGTGTCAGATGATGAAAATTTATTAGTGTTGTATCGCTCGTAAATAGAAAAGTTTAGATGGGACATATAAATACATAACAGATAATATATATATATATATATATATGGTAGAAACTTTATTTATTTTTAAATAAACAACAATTTTATTTTTTTAATGAATTGTTGTTTTTTTTTCAATGAGCAACTGTTTATTTTAACAAGCATCCGTTATTTTTGTTAATGTGCAGTTGTTTTTTTTAATGAGTTGTTGTTTTTTTTTATAATGTTATGTCTCATATTAAACTTATAAATAGAGACATTGGGTGAGAGGAATAATCACAAGTTAAGAGAATGAGAAAGTCATTCTGCATTGTTTTTTTTTATAATGTTATGTCTCATATTAAACCTATAAATAGAGACATTGGGTGAGGGGAATAATCACAAGTTATGAGAAGGAGAAAGTCATTCTGCGTTGCAGAGAAGAGTTTTGACAAAGCAAATAGTAGCAGCGAAGCAGATAGTTGTGACGGAGAGTTGCGGCGAAGTAAAGTGTCGCGGGAAGAGTTGCAAATAAGAGTTGCGGCTAAGAATTGCTGTGAATAGTTGTGGCAAAGAGTTACAGTGCAAAGTTGCGGCGGAGTTGCAGTTAAGAGTTGCAGAGAAACGTTGCAGTGAAGCGTTAAGTTGTCTCTGTCCTGCGTAGCAAACGAGCAAATGGATCTTTTTTCTTGATGTCGCGTGTTCCGAAGGAGATTCTCGTGCCGCTCTTACACATTCTGAAGGTGATGAATAAATGTTGTAGTTTCCTCGTCGTGTCATGAGAGTGAATTTTCATGTTTATGTGGTGGCGATATCTAGAGACCCATTGACGATCATTAGAAGTACTGGAATTTCAAGAAGGCGATGGTGACTCTAATTGAAGATGAACTGATTTGTTTTAACCATAATACAATATGTTGATATTTGTGGTCTTTTTAATCAACTGTGTGACAATTGTAGATACTCTAATTGAAGATGAACTGATTTGTTTTAACCATAGTACAATATGTTGATATTTGTAGTCTTTTTAATCAACTGATGTGACAATTGTAGATAATAACAATGTATTTCTTTGTTGCTTCCACTGTTGTTATGACTTCTTATTTATGCAAAATTCTGCACGTAAAGTTAGCACACACTTTATAAAATGATGAATCGTGTACCTTCTGAGGCTCTTGTCTTCCGAGGTTATTCTCTCTGGGGCTTATGCCTTATAGAAGCATGAAATGAATCGGTATCTTTCGAGGCTTGTAGCCTTTTGATGAAATTTATGCACTTGAGTCCTCTTAGGTCTTTGATGTACACGTGTCTTCCGAGGCTTGTAATCTTCTGAGGTCTTTGAGTGTACATGTGCCTTCTAAGGCTTGTAGCCTTCTAAGGTCTTTGATGTACCCATGAATTATAAGGCTTGTAGCATTTTGAGGCATTTGAGTGGAGACATTGTCAACCACTTGCTCTCATGGAGTCTTTCTTGTGAGGACTCTGTCCACTACTAGCTTTCTATCGAGACTTGCCTCTTGGGCTCGTCTTCCAAGGGCATGATAGCTTCTCATGGAGTTTTGCCTCTTGGGCTTGACTTTCAGAAGTACCATATTTTCTCGTTGAGTCTTACCTCTTGAGCTCGACTTCTAGGGGCATGATAGTTTCTCACCGAGTCTTGCCTCTTAGGCTTTAATTACAGGATTGTTGTATCTTCCCGTCAAATCATACCTCTTGAGCTCGACTTCCAAGAGCGATAGCTTCTCATCGAGTTTTGCCTATTGAGCTTGAATTTCAAGAGTATCGTATCTTCACATCGATTCTTGTCTCTTGAGCTCAACTTCAAGGGTCATTGTACCTTTTTTTATCAAGGGGACTTTCTACAAAAAAATCTTTCATGAGAAAATAAGAAAATTTCAATGAAATGATATTTTAAACAACATGAAAATTTTGTATTGTGACTGAAGGGTTATAAGCATCATGTGACGCTATAGAAGTGGCCAAAAGAAGGTAGCTGGGAAAAGGGCTTAAAGGCCGGAGTTTTGCCTATTGAGCTTGAATTTCAAGAGTATCTTATCTTCCCATCGATTCTTGTCTCTTGAGCTCAACTTCAAGGATCATTGTACCTTTTTTCAATCAAGGGGACTTTCTACAAAAAAATCTTTCATGAGAAAATAAGAAAATTTCAATGAAATGATATTTTAAACAACATGAAAATTTTGTACTGTGACTGAAGGGTTATAAGCATCGTGTGACGCTAGAGAAGTGGCCAAAAGAAGGCCGCTGGGAAAAGGGCTTAAAGGCTTGGAAAAAGTGATCATGCCTTGCTTGGGAGAGGTGAGGGATGGTTTGCTCCCATTGGTTCAGCCGAAGAAGGTGCTCAAGGTAAAAAGATTTTCCTCATTTTAGTTGCATGTATGTATTAGTGTGTGCTTGTAATGTATTGTTTTGCTATTGGAAGGAAGCGACGAGGATGTCTTTAAAAGTCATGACACATCTAATTTTGGGGATTCTCTAGCCCATCCTTCAATCGTGAGTTTGCATGATCAAGCGGAGGCAAGTCGCTCTTCTCCAATTTCAATAGGGACCGAGTCGAAAAGAGAACCTAAAGATGCTGGAAAGGTAGAGTGTGATGTTTCTCAAAGGAAAGGAAAAGACTCCTATTTCAGAAGTCGAGTTGTCTCCTCCTCTGAGTGGTTGTTCACTTATGATCAAGAGTTGGAGTTTGGATGAGCGGTCATCACGCTCTTCTTGATAGGGACACCCAATGATACCCTTTTACCCCTTTGAATGTGGACTACTCGTTTCTCCTCCTCTGAGTGGTTGTTCACTTATGATCAAGGGCTGGAGTTTGGATGAGCGGTCATCACACTCTTCTTGATAGGGACACCCAATGGTACCCTTTTACCCTTTTGAATGTGGACTACTCGTTGACCTTAATGGACGTATTTTGGTTTCCCACCTTTGCAAAGTACTAGAGAACAACAAATCGATGTGATATGCATTAGGAAATCTATAACTATCATGTTCTTGCATGGGAGGCCTCACATTTTATCTAGATTCTCTTAAATTGGATCGAAAGGAAAATTGAGAGGGATGCCGCACGAATAGACAAATTGAGGCGAAGGGCCATCATGATTGAGGAAAGGCTGAAGCTATCTTTGGGGTAGAGGGAGTTGGAGAATCGAGAACATGAAACCTCTCTTAAAGAGCACGAAGAGTTAAAAGAGAAGGACTCTTCTATGATTACTCGGGAAGAACATGTTAAGGGCCTTTCCATGGTCAAGGAAAGGCTGAAATTACCTTTGAAGCAGGGAAGTTGGAGGCTCACGAACATGAGGCCCTTCTTAAAGAACATGAATAGTTGAAAGAGAAGGTCTCCTTTATGTTGCTTTCCTGAAGAACTCCTTATTTTGGATAACGTCCACTATTTATGCTACGGACACCCGTTTTGTAGGGACTCCGGGATTATACCGGGGTGTTCATGATGAGGGGACGTTTGGTGGTTATGAGCCTTAGTTTGTTGTCTCTAATCCTCATGACAATGGGTGGAGTGATTGTCGGGGCGGCCCTCGACGGTCATGCATTTTGTTTGGGTTGTCTTCTGCGTTCTAGTGGCGGTCTCTTCTAGTGTTGTTAGGGGGTCTCAAGGGCGTTCTGATAGAAGACAATATACTTTTGGGTCATTTCTAACAGCTTGATCAACATACATATGAATGATTCAAACAATGCGAGGTGGTCATTATGATCAGACAGTCCTTTCTATGATTTTAAGATGAACATCTTGAAATTCTTCGGAGGTTCAACTCCCGAGACCTGTAAGGAGAAGGCCTTCTTAGACTATCTATGTACCTCAGTTCACACTGGTCGATTCTACTCCTCCATAAGAGCATATATAACACTACCTTGATACAACCCGTCGTCTTACTTCTACTGTAGGCGGATCACTCTTCCTCCATTGCTTGCTGATAGTTCTCCTCCCGGGGGGTTAGGTGCCCCTGGTTGGGCCGGTTCTCCTTCCGGGGCTGAAACTGCAACTGATCCCAAGGCCGTTACGGCTCTAAGTACCTCCACAAATTGTTTTGACATTTGGTTGGTGATTTAATTTCCCAAATCCCGCAGCCCTTCCTGGAGGAATTCTTCAATGTACTCTCTAGTACATGCTGCTTCCACCACGTTCTTATGACTGGATTCTCCCTGTTGTTGTTGTTGTTGTTGGGTTCCTCTTTTTGTTGATGACATGTTCTTACGCTCACTGCACCTTAAAAGAATGTTGAATATGAAAATGTACGGGAAACACACCTAAGACATATAGTGTTATGCTATAAAATGGTTAGAGGAATGAGAACAATAGATAACATTAAACGAGTCCATTCTTTATTCATGAACATAAACCCTTTATTTATAGGAATACGTCACAATTATTAAAAATTACAAGTCAACCCCTTATTATTAAGTTTGAGAAGGGTCTTTTAATAATTACAAAAATATTAGGGTATAATAAGACTAACAATATATTCGGTCAATGAGAAGTCTGTTGACCGCTCACTACGTCTTAACTCAATTGATACACGGTCTCAGACTGAGCAGCTCGCCGATCGGCTTTGGAGCCGATCGTTGTTCAATAGAAAATTCTTCACCACATTCTTTAGATAGGCCAACCTAAACACATTATGTGTTAGCATCCGGTCATTCTCTCATCAAATGAGGCATCCCATAAATTGTTCATCGTTCCTGAGCAGCCCATTTATCTTGAGATTCACACTCACAAATTTTTCATATAAAGTATTTAAATGGAACCTTTTAAAAACACGGGCATGAGTTTTATGCGGGCGATAGGTTTGGTAGTTTTAAATGCCAACTTTCGAGGGATGATGTCACGTTTCTCAATATAAGCATTTCCGCGGTCGATTGGGTAGGCGGCCCGTAAATTTCAGAGCACTGCGAGGAGGAGGACGACGAAGATGGGTCTGAAGGTTGGAGAGTTATTACCTTTTATTTTTTATTTTTTATTTTTTAGCAATTTCATGACTCGATCAATATAGCAAATGGATTCAAATCCGAATTGCATGAATAAATATTTTTTTTCCTTTGAGGTTTCAGATTCAAGATCTATCTTGTTTTTTCGATATTTTGTTTTACGAATCGATCAAATTGGAAGGTAGCATCTGCTTATGAGGATCCACCTGAGTATTGCATGCTTCGTTTGTTCTATTAATTTAGAAACATCGAGTTTACTGGTTTAAAACATTGAGGAAATTTCTGTGCTTGATTTTGTCTTGAGGATGCGCACAGGAGATGCTAAACGAGATATTTTGTTTATTTCCTTAGTCCTCTACAGAGTACCAAGCCAGATCGAAAGATGATTTGTGGGTTAAATGGATTTGTGAATTGATTCATATGATCTCCGTGGAACTATTATGAAATAACCAGGTCGAACTGAGTTAAGAGCATACAAGTTCACAGAGAGAGAGAGAGATTTGTGGGTTAAATGGATTTGTGAATTGATTCATATGATCTCTGTAGAGCTATTGTAAAATAACCAGGTATAACCAGGGCTAAACAGCATACAAGTTCAGAGAGAGAGAGAGAGAGTGGATGAGCACTTATAGCGAAGAGACAAGAAAATATAAAAGAGAGAGATGAAGAAGCTCTGGTATTTACTATAATGGTGACAAATTGAGTGCAATTGCATGATAATTGGGCAATCTCAAGTTTTTCCTGCGATCTTGTATTTACATGTTTGGACTGGAGATTGGGCCTTACAAAGAGATCTATGCTAGCCACATAAATAAGAAAAAAAAGTCACAGTAATACGTATTGGTATGCTTGTTGTAAAATACATGATGTTTTTTTTCCAATATTATTTGGATTGACTACTCTGATTTGTAGGCGATTTTTTGAGAAGCAGAAGTAATTTTTTTTTGAGAATTTACTGAATTGGCGAACAAATTTTGAACTTGGGCTAAAAAAATTATTGTAGGCATACAAAAGATTCATGCTTATCTTTCCTGGCACATGATGAGTTTATCACACACACACCACACACATTCCATGCAAGGGAGACAATAGGGGGTGACCTTCAGACTGAGAAAACCTTAACATGATAAGAGTAAGTGACAGAACTAATGCAACACAAAATCGAGCGAAATATAAAGCTTAAAAAATGATGAGCAATAATAACAAATGTGAATAAAAATTGCAAACATGTTTAACTTTCAAATAAAACATGTTTGGTTTCTTAAACATATTAACATGTTTTTCAAAATACTCAAAAAAAATTTTAGGTGAAAGTTGTTTTGGGTGTTTTTAAAAACAACTATGCTATAATCAGATGGCCAAATATGTTATCTTTCAAATAAAAAACATAAAAAAAACAAAATAAAAATAAAAAATAATAAACTACATAACCACCCCCCCCTCTTGCCCGCATTCTTCTACTTCTTGTGAGAGTAGTCATTGGCTTTTTTTGTTCAAATTTAATTGCAGGAGGATTTTGAAGAATATGCTGAGAAAGCTAAAGGGCTACCTGAAACTACTACCAATGAGAATAAGTTGATTTTGTATGGGCTGTACAAGCAGGCAACTGTTGGACCTGTGAATACTAGTATGCATTTCACCTCCACTATTGTCAGACTTTTTTAGTTTTATTTCAATTTTGTTTTCAAATGCTATGGTACTTTTGGTTCTGATTGTGAAAATTATTTTTACTTGTCACGTCTTATGGACAATTTATTTGATCAGTTAATCTCTTTCAAAACGCTGCCAACTCAAATAACTGTCAGTTATTTACTATGAGATGAAGATCTGGTTATCTTTTTTTTACCAATAAAATGATTTATATGGTATGAGTGTGGGAGATCTATATGTTTACCACTCAGTTTTTACATATATGCCACTTTACTTATTGATGTGAATGTATATTTTTCTTTTAAAAGTTATAATAGTTGTATTATTGATGTGATGTGAAAAATTTGGATGGTATAAATGTGAAAATCAAAGTTTAGGTGTTATATATGTAAGTACATACAAATTGTGTGATATTGAATTTATAACGACAATCCCTAGCCGTTATTACTCATTATTAACTTTTATTCCCTCATTATGTATTTCCTATTTACTTTATTCTGTTTTATTTTTTTCTATTTATTTTATTTTTTTTATTTCTTTTCTTTATTATGTCTATTGTAATTGAGTTTAAATACCCTTCATCTGATCAATAATATGTGTTGTTTTAATCCAAATCTCAACATGGTATCAGAGTCCAACCCTAGATCCAACAGTCCCCAACCTCCTCTGATGGTTCCATCAACCACCATCTCCCAGCCACTGACCTCCTCTGTGGGTTCCAGCAGCTGCAAGTGCCCTTTGCTCCAACCACAGGTTTCAACAATCTCAGCCACCGGTCTTCCTGCTGCTGGTTTCAACAATTGCTGCTTCCAATACAGCCTTTGGTCCCCTTTGATTCAGTTGACGCTGGTTCTACAAAAAGGTTTCCCCTCTATTCCAGCAGCCAAAGTTTCTGCACCATCTTCTATCGGGTCTGCAGCACCCGCAGATTTCTGCAGTCTTTTGCTGTACCTACCATAATTCATCAATGGCTCGGAACCACAACACCATCTCCTTTGGCTCAGTTGGAATTAGGGCCGATTCCTCCAACATTGAACCATCTTCAAAAAATGTTATTGATTCCACATAAGGATCGACTCCAATTTTTACTCCCTTGCGGACCGGATGATCGAAAACCAACATGAATTTCCTAATCATAATCTATAAACTAAACGATAGTAACTTTATCCAATGGTCCCAAGCGGCATCTTTGTTCATCATAGGACGTGGGTAGTTCGGTCACCTCAAAAGTATAGTTCGCAAGCCTGCAAAAACTGACCCGACATATGGAGCTTGGGAAGTGGAGAACTCCATGGTCATGCTATGACTAATTAACTTATTAGAGACTTTGATTGATTGTTCATATGTGTTCTTCCCTTCAACTAGTGCTCTCTGGACTGCTGTTCGTAATACTTATTCATATGTAGGAAATTTCAGCCAACTGTATAAGGTATCTATGAAAATTCGGGAGGCAAAACAAGGTTCAGGGACCGTGACCCAGTGCTATAATGATCTCGTTGCACTGTAAATAGAATGTGGCCTGTACTACGGATTCTCTGGCTGACTTATCCATCTTCCAGAAGATTGTAGAAAATGATTGTATTTTCCAATTCCTAACTGACCTTAACCAAGTCCAGGACCGTATTCTTGGGCAAGATTTTCTTCCTTCCACTTGCGTCTCTTTCAACGAGATTCATCAGGAAGAAAGTCAGAGACTTTTCATGCTTGACAATTCAACTCTTTTAGCTGAATCATTCACTTTGATTTCAAATAGTGCTCAGCCTTCGTCCATACCACTTCAGACTGGTCACCCCACTTGTGGTTAATATCACAAGCCCAACCACACTTGTGACAACTGTTGGCCATTTTGACGGTAAGCCGACATATAAACCTTCGACCAAATCCTTTATTACCAAGGGTCTCACGACAACGTCCGAGCCTACCACTACTCAACCGACTCCTACCTGAAACGTTTCAGAATCCTCCAAATCCCTGAAAAACAGATGCAACAATTGATCAAACTTCTTGGAGCCAATCAAGCCTCTGCTGGCACATCCGATAAGATACTCTTCCTATGACTGTAGATTATTGATTCAGGTGCCACATATCACATGATTGGATGTTCGCAAGCTTTCTTGATTTACTATCCATGCTCTGGAAAAAATACAGTCAGAATTGTCCATGGTTTCTGTAGTCCCATTGCTGGTAAATGGTAGGTTGAACTATCGATTGGTCTAACTCTGGAGTCTTTTTTACATGTACTCCTATTACAAAGTAACTTGTTATCTGTTAGCAAATTGAGAAATGATATTAATTGCGTTGCTAATATTTTTTCTAATGATTATGTTTTTTAGGACCATCGTTAGGGGAGGATGATTGAAACTGCTAAGAGGATAGTTGGACTCTACCACTTCTAAGTGGAGAGCACAAAGAGTGAGGACTTGCCACTCAAAAATTGTAGTTTATTTTGAGTGATTGAATGCTCATTATGTTGTTACATTGTCCTTTGAGTCATCATAGTTTTCATCATTTAAAAGTTTGTATCCTTTGACGTTTTCTAATAAAATTCTTGCTAACATCAATCGTGAGACATCAATTACCAAAGCATCATTGAGTCCATTATTCACCTCACATTACACATTTTACGCTCATTTCTCCCTCATTCATAATGACATATAAGGACCCTTTCGCACTTTCGGCTACACTAATAAATAGTGTTTACCGACCTTAATTGATGAAAACACTTGAATTACGTGGGTTTACATTTTAAAAGATAAATTAAGGCAGATCAAAAAAGTTGTTGTCACGTTCCAAAACTTCTACGCATTTGTTTTAACTCAATTCAAAACTCTTATTCAGGTCTTTCAGACCGACAATGACCGAGTTTTTTAACTCTATTTTGGGTGAATTTTTGGTAAGTAAGAGCATCCTCTATCATAGCTCGTGTACAGACATTCAACAAAATAGGGTGACCGAGAGAAAAAACCATCACCTCCTCGATGTTGCTCGCTGCATTATATTTCAATCCAATGCCCTGAAATGGTTTTGAAACGATGTACATTTAGTTGTCACCTATTTCATAAATAGAGTCTCCTCTAAAACTCACAAGTTCCTAACCTCTTTAGCCGTCTTAATTTCATACTTTCCTGTTAATTTAGTCTTCTCCACATTAAATTTTAAGATTTTTGGGTGCACGACCTTTGTTCGGAATACTGCCCCCACTCAGTGTAAACTTGATCCTAGATTTATTCTTAGGGTGCCACAAACAAAATCTATGTAAGTGCTAATGTCACCTTCTTTGAAAGTGTTTCATATTTTTTCAGCTTGACCTCAAGTGAGGGGAAGCTTGAGTTCTCTGACACTGTCCCTTATCCTACTCCCATGGATATCCCCCCACCACATGGTTCTTACCACTAAGGATTTCCCTGTTTCGTTGAGTGCATCATCTCATCCTCCCATTGTCCGTGTTTACACTCGACGCATCGGTACTAATGCTCCTACTCAGAAGTCCGCTACATCCTTACAGGACCTTGACTCCACTCCAAGCGACATTCTCAACACAACCACTCGTCCGAATGGGGAGGTGAGTTCTCTGAGTAAGGTACACAATCAGACATGCTCCCTCTATTCTATGATAAAATATGTCTTTTTCCACAGTCTATCACATGCTCCCTCTATTCTATGATAAAATATGTCTCTTTCCACAGTCTATTGTCGACTTATAGAGCATTTTCTACCGCCCTGACGGACCATCAGATCCCTGCTACTATTAAGGTTGCTCTTGTTGATCCAGCTTGCAAAACAACTGTAATAGAGGAGATAAATAACCTTTAGCAGAGTCATATATGAGACGTCGTGGTTCTTTCTCGGGATAAACCGTTGGGTGCTGATGAATTTTCAGCACAAAGTTCAACTCTAATGGATGCTTTAAATGCAACAAGACATGGTTGGTCTCCAACGGGTACTCACAGATCTACGGAGTTGACTATGAGGAGACATTTGCTCCAATGACTAAATTAAACACTATTCGGGTCCTCTTTTCACTTGTGGTGAATCTAGATTAGCGTTTATTCTAACTGAATGTTAAGAATGTGTGCTTGAATGGAGAGCTTACAGAAGAAGTGTACATGTCTCTCTCTAGCTTTGACTCTACTACATCCAGACGACAAGTATGCAGGCTAAGAAATTCTCTATATGGGCTAAAGTAGTCCCTAAGGGTCTGGTTTGACAAGTTCACAAAGGTAGTCATGAGCCATTGTTTTACTTAGGCTCAATCAGATCACATCCTCTTCTTTTGACATTCCTCTAATGACCAGATAGTTATCCTTATTATCAATATTGACGATATTGTTCTTCCTTGTAACGATCTCACAACATTGGAGTTCTTAAAAGACATTTTTGCTCCTTTGAAATGAAGAACTTGGGATCTCTCTGGTACTTCTTAGGCATGGAAGTGGCTCGGTCATCTCGGGGCATTTGCCATCTCAGCGCAAATATGTGATTGATTTCTTGACAGAGAACAACATTTTGCTGTACAAACCTATTGTTGTTCCTATAGATCCCAATAAAAAATTATTTGACATTCTCAATATTGTGTTTGACGACAAGACTCAATGATTTGTGGGAAAACTCACCTATCTCGCCCATACTCGCCCCGACATATGCCACGTAGTTGATATATTGAGTCAATTCATGCATGATCCCTATGAGCATCATCTCCAAACTGTCCATCGGATTCTTCACTATTTGAAAGATACGTCGGGCTCAGTTTTATTTTTTTCCCCTCTCGGCTTATTGCTATGTATAAAGATGCTGATTAAGCCAGATTAGTTCATGACCGACATACCGACATTCCATCTCAGGGTATTGCTCATTTGTATGAGACAAACTTGTCACGTGGAAAAACACAAAATAGTCTGTGGTTCTCCGGAGCAGTGCTGAAGTTGAATTCCAGTCCATGTCATTGGGAATCTATGAAGCTCTCTGGTCAATCATCATGCTCAGCCAGCTTCATATGCCAATGTACATCCAACTAGCGCTATTCTGTGATAATAAAACCGCAATCAACATTACTCACAATCCAGTCTTGCATGATCATACCAAACACGTGAAGATTGGCAGACTCTTCATTAAGGAAAAGATTGAGTATGGGAAATTTGTGTTCTTTATGTGCCCTCCAGTGGTCAACTAGCAAACATCCTCACCAAGAATATTGTTCGACCTTTGTTCGTTGACTTCAAATCCAAGTTGAATATCATTGACATCGATGCTTCAACTTGAGTGGGAGTATTGGATTTATAACGACAATCCTAGTCGTTATTACTTATTATTAGCTTTTATTCCTTCATTATGTATTTCCTATTTGCTTTATTTTGTTTTATTTATTTACTATTTATTTTATTATGTTTTATTTCTTTTCTTTATTATATTGTAATTGAGTTTAAATACCCCTCTTATTAATAATACGTACGGTTCTATTTTTATCTCAGCAGGCGGTATGTATGAAAATGCCCCTAAAAGTTTTTGCCAAAACAAGTAGTTCTATACTTATTGTAATGAATTTATAAACCATTTACCCGATTAAATAATCAAACACTTCATGGATAACACCATGAAATGCCACTTGATGAGTCTCCTCTAATAAGTTGGAAATGAGTAAATGATATCCTAGACTTTTTGGATTGTGCATTGTGGTTCTTCACTTTTTCATGTGCTCAATTACTCTCAACTATCTACCCAAGTTAGAACTAATTTATTTTTACAGTAAACTTTACTATTTTCTTGGACGGAAAGTAATAGAGAGAAATTATTCATGAGGGCATTTTTTATTTTTAAGAATCAATCTTATTACTCAATACCAGTTGAAACTAATGAAATTATTCCTGAAATATTCAAAATGCCTGTTGTAGCATCTTTATATTGGACTTCTGAGCAGGGCCACCTATATTTTGTGAAGCCGTAGATTGTTCCCTTTCTTATACACTGATTACAAGAGGTTTCAGATTTCCTTTTGCAGAAATAATTTATTGTGCTTTGTATTTTTTGATCTGCCCCAACTCTCTTCATATCCTAATTAAACAGATATTGGTCAGTCCTGACTTTTATTGTTTGCAGGCCGTCCTGGTATTTTCAACCAGAGAGATAGAGCCAAGTGGGATGCCTGGAAGTCTGTTGAAGGTTCTAACTCTGAAAGAACCCAACCCTCTAATAGAAATATTTTCTAGTTGTTCAATATCTATCTTTAGGCTTCATCTGGAAATTAATCATCTTGCTCTCATAGAGTTATGAAGTCATATGGAGCCTAATTACGCGTATGAATCAACAGGTAAATCTGCTGAGGAAGCCATGGGTGACTACATCACAAAAGTAAAGCAGCTGCAAGAGGCGGCTGCTTCATCTTGAACGAGTTTCAGCTTGCTTCATCATTTCTGTTTTCTGCCAGTTGGTACCTGCTTTTGTTTCCAATTCTGAACTTTGCTTCATAAATGTAAACTGAGTGCCCAAAATTTGTGTTGTTGTTTGGGATGTTTTATGCTCAGCTGCTGGATCAGCTACTATCAGTATTTATCTGTTATGCTTTGCATATGTACTTTGTTGAACAGCATCTGAATGTCAGTTAATTACTTTCCATATGTGAAAACCAAATACTTATTAACATATATTTTACTGGAAAGACAAGTATGAAGTGTACTGCGGGTTACAAAAATACACGCTGCAGTCTCTATCGAAGATAAGTGAGCGAGTTTTATGCTGAGGTTTTGGGTTAAATTTCTGGAAGGCCAATGTGTAAGTAGATAAGACACTATCCATAGATTTCACTCTCATTTTATAAGAATTTTAATATTAAGACTTGTAGATATTTTATAGGTGTAAGCCCATGTGATTAATTACTTTTCCTGATAACGAGAGAGCATTTTCGATGAAGGCTAGCCATTAGACACTAAGTATTTAGAATTAGTGTATAATAACAATATATTAATTATAGATTATAGAAATTTATTGTGAGTTTAAAATGGATGGTGGGGGAATGATGGAAAACTTGATTAAGATCTTATGAGCCTGTCATCTTGGATTGTCATGGACTTTGATCTATTTAGTTACAAGAATTAGTTGACTCAACCTAACAGAATAATTCTTGTCAGTAACTATATTGTTTGCTTCATCTAAGAGAACTTTGTAGATTAAGATAGATGCTTGTGTAATGGGAAAAATTCAAATTGACCTTAGCTTGGAGAGGACTTTGTGCCTTTTCGGGTATACTTTAGGATTCATAACTCAACGGATAGAAAAGCACTTGAGAACATACTAACCAAACTACCCAGTCAGGGAGCTTTGATTATAAGTGCTTTTGTGGAGCCTACGGGCCAAATCACATGTACACATAACTCGGGTCAAGCCCTTTTTGTCATGATATTGTCTTGAGCATGAATTTAATGGCATACTTGACATGATATTCACTTTTTGTGAGTTTTTATTAATTATAAATTTGCCATCCTCAACAAACATTTGTGGAGGGCTGGATGTAATTTTCTTAAGCATTTGATGATTAATTTCTTTTGATCGTTTTTTAATTTAGTAAATTTTTAATGAAGAGCTTTCATTTATAAGATTTGAAAGTATTTTCATTTATAAGAGTCATTTAGGATACGACCATTGGGGCAGCTTGTGCTGAGGAGAGGAAGAAAATTGGGAGCATCAGAGAGAAAGGGAGAGCACGAGTGAAGAGAATTGAGAAGACACTAAAGCTGTGTTGCAGGCATGCCGTAGAAGCTTGCTTGGTTATTCCCGGAAAAAAATTAATTAAAAAAATCTTTTAAATCTATGTCATTTGTCTTATATGATTGATGAATTTAATATAAAGGTATTGCTTGTTACTAAAAAGCTGACTATTAATCATATGAAATTTAAACAATAAATAAAAAAAAGGGGCATTTACATACATAGCTCACAATTGTTATGTATTTACCTATCACACATCTAAATTTTCATATTTACACACAAAACACTCAAATCTTTAATATCACATAAAAAATAGTACTATTATCACTTTTAAAAGGTGAAATATAACTTTTCATGTATAGGTTTAAAGAACCAAAATGCTATGTATGTAAATATGAAACTTTAGATGTGAGCTGTGTAAAAACATAAGACTTGTGTGCTACATATGTAAATTTTTACATATTTGTCTTATATGAATTGTGTGCTACATATGTATGTAAAAAAACCAAATTGCATTTTTTTATTAGTTCATGAAATCAAATATTTATGTCACATACGTTTTTAAGTTATTTTTTTGAGGAATATAATCTTTCTCTTAAACAGATGATAAAATAAATAGTATGCCATATTGCCATTTTATTATTTTGACTGGACATTCAATATAAAAAGTTGGTTCTATCTTGTTCTTTTGAGTAACTGGAAGTTTATTATAGATATTCTATTTATTAGAAGTTTGGTATAAGATAAATTAAGAATAAGTTAGGCATGCAATAGATTATATTAAATTAAACATAAAAATAATTAATAAATAGGAAGATATTAGTTTTTATTCTTTTGTATTTGGTACATGTATTTATGTCATTCATCCATGTCATACATAACATGCAATTCCTGTTGATTTACATATCTAACACCTAAACTCTACTTTTTTACAATTATACCGCCCTGAACTGTCATATCATATAAAAATACCATGTTTAAACTTTTAAATAGTGAAATACATATTTTCATGCATAGTTAAGATGAAATTTATGTAAAAATTAAAATTTCGGTGTTAGATATGCAAACACATTGGAATTAAGTGGTATGTTTGTAAATCGTCCTTGAGACTATGGTTTATGAAACTTCTGCATATGCACGCGCGTATAGTTGACAAGGTTCATGATTTTAATCTTTAATTTCATCAAATAAATATATAATGAAACCAATATATGCATTACGATAAAGTTTGAAAGCCATTTGGATTACAATTGATAAAAGCTACTGAATTCATTAAGGTTTTACAGACTATCACCAAGCAAGGTAGGGGAGCTTTGAGAATTTAGCAAGTATAGCTCTTTGATATTTGAATTGAGATCAACTTTCTTAAGGAATCAAATCCAAAACCACCATCAGTCTCATTGAAGTTTCCCGCGCGTCTTACTTATGATTAGGGCCATAAAAAAAAACTTGTTTTTCGATGGCGATTTTTGTTCGACTCGTCAAGAAGCTTGCATTTAATTCGGGCATGTTGGGCTCATCTTTTAAACAAGCCTAGAACAAACAGACCTTTGTTTGATCATGTTATGTTAAATTAATGGATGCACAGCTTGTTTTCCTCATTTGGATCATGATTCTATTTGGAGAAATTCTCATTCAAATGATCCTTGAAAATTAAAAAGTTTTTGATCGGGGAATATATTCAAAAATATTTTTGATTGGAAACATCTTGTGAAAAGAAATTTGACTTTATATGCCTCAGAATGAGAACCTTTGGACAAATACGGCAGCTAAATTTTTATTTGAATAAATATGAGATGAAAATATGTTTGTTATTCTAGCTCTTTTATTGAATAAATCCAAGATTCATCAATTCCGAACATTTATTGTGTTTAATAGATTTAGGAATTTCTTCTTTTCATAAATCTTAAATCTTAAAGCAAATACACAAATAGTTTATTAAGATTTAATAAAGTTCAACGATTATATTTTCAAAGCTAAGATGATTTTTGATTTTCCACTCTCATGATTTACAAAAACAATCCAAACATGAAGTAATGAGGAATTTATTTGAGTGTTAACAACTACTTGAGAAATTCAAACTAATATTATTTGTCTTTACTCTCATTCAAACATCATATTTTAATTTTATTTATCAACAAGGATACAAATGTGCTGAAGAAATGGAGACTTGCAAGAAGGAACCATTCAAGAATAGTTCATTAATCTCTTCTTTTTCCTTAACCACTCAATTATCTTCTTTGGAAGTTAAGCACTTTGATTGCAAACCCAAATAGAAAAGCAAAGAAAACTGCAAACAAGACAACCATGACTGCAACCACTCCCAAGAAATCATGCTTGAACCCAAAGTAACTTCTTAAGAACTCCTCTACTGTTTGATCTATTTCAAGCATTTCATTCACATCTCCATACTGAGAAACAAGTAATCCATATAAGGACCATGAAACCGGACAAGCCCAGTAGTACCACCTCCACCAAACAGGCATTGCCTGCATGAGAATATAGAGACATTAAATTATACAAATTTATAGGCTCTTAGGATTAAGATATTGAGAAAAGTGTTAATTTTTAGTCCTCTGACTCTTTACAAGGGGGTCATTTTTGTTCCAAAATTTATCAAAGTGCAAATTTAGCCTCAGATTCTCTCTTAATATGAGCTGAAATTGTCCCATGGAGGATTATTTCAAACCCAATTTGAGGAGCCTGGAGACAATTTATCACTTTTATAGACTTTGGGACTAAAATGACACCATGTAAATAATTAGGCGGCTATTTTGACACTTTACTCTTAAAAAGTATTGATAAAGGAGATCGAAGAAGTTCAAACTCACCGGTCTCGGGATGACAAATCCACCAAAAAGGTTCCAAATACTATAAAATGCAGCAACTATTATTGAAGCTATGTTCAGATTGGGAGTTAAGCTGACTGCCAACATTCCATAGTATGTGAAGTAGAGTAGCGTGAAGAATGTGAAGAAGAAGTACCATAAGAACTTAGTTGCCGTCCACTCAAATCCAATCATTGCATATACCGAAACACTATATAATATTGATTGGACCAAAATATATGGCTGCTCAATTAGAATCTGAAAATATTATAAAATAAACCTTATGAGCACAAAAAATAACGTTTGAAACTCAATATATAGCTGAGTACTTTCCTGCTGCTCTCTCTCTATAAAAAACAGTACGTTCGATTGCGACAACAGGTTGCACTCCATTCGAGTATGATATTCCAATGAATAAAACAGCACTATACATTGAACCCAATGCATTGAACAAGTCTTGTTGTTTCTTTCTGCAGAAATATGTTTTACTCATTAATCAATATTTGCAAAAGAGGAACTTTACAAATAATATTAGCATGAATGATAACATACTTTTTACCCCCAAGGTTCCAAAAAATTGTCCCAAGCATCGCTGCTATCATCATGGTGAAGACAAACCTCATCACAGTGTATGAAGTGTTCCTCCAATATGACAAGTGTTGTTTCCATAAGCATGCTAAGCATTGTGTCAAGAAAGGCTGAGAATATTGAGTTGGAAAGGAGAGATCTTGTGAGCCAGGAGATGGTCTACTATTTTCGACGATTAATGCTTTATTTCTCCTGCGGTGCATTTTTGAGTTTAGTGTCATTATCCGAATAGGCAAAATTTTGAATGCAGTTGAGGAACCTTGTGATAATTTAATAATTCACTTACTGACATAATTCAGACTTCTTGTATACTTCACTAAAGTTAATACCGAGTAGACTTTCTTGAGCTGGGGTGGTGACTTCTAACATCCATGTTGCAGGATTATGACCATCTTTAATCTTACTTACCCCTTGGATCCCCTAAATTCATAACCATCATAAATAGAATTTGTTGTCAATAACATCATCTTTTTGTCTTTATTTCAATTTAATATTATATATATATATATATTTGGCGAGATACCTCAAAATAATTTATGAGATGAAAAGAGTTATGTCCTAATGGTCCCACATATATCTCTTCGCCTCCTCTTTTCATCAAAAATAGCTGCAATTCAAAGTAATTATACATGAATGCATCAAAAGATGATAAAGTATATATGTTATATGAATATGCATTCATATAAAAATTTCTCACCTCATCAAAAGCTTCAAAAATATCAATGCTAGGTTGGTGAATCGTGCACACAACTGTCCTGCCGGTATCAACAGTGTTTCTTACAGTTCTCATTACAATTGCAGCTGCCCTGGCATCAAGTCCAGAGGTAGGCTCATCCATGAAAATAATGGAAGGATTAGCGATAAGCTCAACAGCAATGGTTAGTCGCTTGCGTTGCTCAGTCGACAAACCATTTGCACCAGGCAATCCAACTAGTGCATTCCTTAAAGATGCCATCTCTACAAGCTCCATAACCTCTTCAATGAACATCTGTAAAACACATTTTTATTATTATGTAATTTTAGCATCATGGGTCATCAATAATGTGTACTGTGAATTCATATGTACTTAACCTACTTCTCTTGTTTTAGAATCAACTTCAGAAGGAAGTCGAAGCCATGCAGAGTAAACAAGAGATTCATAAACTGTCACATGTGGGGAGTGGATATCATTTTGTTCACAATATCCTGACACACGAGCGAAAGTTTCTTGCTTCTTGGGATATCCAGATATGGTAATACCTCCCTCTATATATCCTCCAGTTTTCCTTCCTGCAAGTACATCCATAAGAGTTGTCTTTCCTGCTCCACTAACACCCATTAGTGCTGTAAGAACTCCTGGTCTGAAGCACCCACTCACACCCTTTAGAAGCATCAACTTGTCCGCAACCCCTGTTCCTTTCATTTCCTGAAAGCAACTTTCATTTTAGAATTATTACTCTTGAAAAATTTTGAAAGTCTGCTGTGTGTAAAATTATCATTCAAAAATAAATATAAGTACTTGTGGCATGTCTACTGAATATTTTATGTTGTCAAAAGTGAGAGAAAGTGGTACAAATGGAAGTGCCATTTGTTTCCTTGTATTCAACTCAGTAGGATTAGAATCATGTGGTGAGATCCTCATAGATTTATCTGCACATATTGAGTTATTATCTTTAGTAATTTGCAAGATAAGTTAATATACAAATTGAATGAAGTAATAAACTTACCTCTGGCACTAGTTTGACGATTACAGTTTTCTCCTTCAAATGATGAATGCTGAAGCCTGTTTGTTGCAATAATTTGTCTTTTCTTCAAGGCCTCCTCAGATAGTGCTGGTTGGCCTTTTTTAATTGCTAAAAAATTGCAAATAAAAAAAAATTAATTTATGAAATATAAATTTCCATGCTAAAATAAGGACTAGTGTAAGCATAAGAAGCCTTACGTTTGAGATAGCTTAGAGATACTGCAAAAAGAAAGTTGAATGCGAATACGTATCCAAGTAAAGCAACTACACCAATCCAGTACCATTTTGCTTCGGTAAACATATCTCGTGACTTCAAGATAGCCACTCCGAGAGTTTGATTTGATCCAGGTAATTTCTGTAAGCAAAAAAAGCACCCATAGTGAATATGAAATCCTTTTCTACAGACAACATAAAAATATTTTGATTTTATCATCAATGAAAATACTGCATTACATGACTCCAACTGTTTCCAAGGAATTCATTTACTGAAATTGCTGTATAGGAGTACATTATTGGTGACATCCAATAACCCCAAATCCAAAATTTCTTAATATCACCTGCCAAAGAGAAGACAAATTTGTTAAATTTATGTTGCAATACAACTAAAAGTAAACTAAGTTTAGAGAGACAACCATGTGCAATAATGAATCCACCCAAAACAAGAAAAATGAATAATATGTAGAACGATAATGCAGCAGCCATAAACATGTTCCTCCCAATTGAACCAACAAAACGAAATAACCCTGCGGCCATCTGATGAACTAGAAGAAGTACAACAAACTGTTTGAGGAACCTAAAAAGAAGAACACACTTTGAGATTTGCAATAAAATGAAGAAAAATTTGTTTCATTTCTAATATTTGTAATAGTAAAGTATAATTTGATAAAGTTATTGAAATACAAAATTAAAAATTCAACTCTTCAGAAATATTATAATGTTCTTAATTCTCAGCTTCACGAACCCCTTTGGGTTGTATTCTTTTATTCAACCACATAATTAAAGCTTGGAGGTATATGCAAATCTAACCTTCCAACATTTGGATCACAGCCAACTACATAGTAACTTATCATCACCAAGATGGCAACTTCTACAACTGAAAATGGAATCTTCACAATCCATGTTGGTATTGCATAAGTCCATGAAGGATAAAATAGAGAATCTCTTTGCTTGAAGAAGACAGGCAGCTTAGCAATCGTCATCGAGAGCTCGGAGAATCCATTAAACATTATATTAACAATTAAAAAGAAAAGAGCTCCCATAAAAATAATTCCATCGTTTATTGATCGGTGGTGCATTTTAGTCCTCAGAAAGACGGTCATCATTATCAATGTCATGACCAACACCTACAGGCCAAGAAATTTAAGAATCTGATGGATCAAATTTTCCCAGTATGAATATCTATTAAATATATCTATTAAATACTAATTAGCATATTTTCACACATACCTTAGCTGATCGAAATGCGTAAACAAAAGAATTTCGCTTCAGCAGTAGCACTTCTCTCGCTGCACAAGCTTTTAGTAGTTCCATTTGACTTACACCATGTTTTGAAGTGGTTAAAGCTGCCGGATGGCTCTTGCTCTTATCAAACGGAACCGACAGGTCTTTTGTGAGCTCTCTTCCTACATGGAATGATTGAAATGCTTCTGCAAATTCGACGACCGATACAAATTTGTATGGTTTATCATGATGTATCCAATATTGTTGTTGATCTTTCTTTGATGTCACCTGTTATAAGTATTAGATATAATTAGCTTCTACACCATATATGGTATTTTAAGTTTGCATAAAGGATTGGGGCATTTACATACCACACAATTCTTATGTATTTACATATCTAACACCTAAACATTCATATTTACATGCTTAGCACTTAAATCTTCAACATTACATGAAAAATACCACCATCAATATCTTTTTAAAAGTGGAATATACATTTTCATGCATAGGTTTATGATACTGAGGTGTTTTAAGTACAAGTATCAAGCTTTTAAGTGTTCTATATGTAATATGTTGAAGTTTCCACAATAAAAATCATTCATGAAACTTACTTCTTGTAGAAAATCAGCAACACCCTTCCTCTCAGGACAATTGAAACCCATCAACTGGAAGAATTCAAGCACATATTTTCTAGGACCTTGATACACAATTAACCCATCTGATAAGAGGATGATATCATCAAAGAGCTCATATGTCTCAGGTGCTGGTTGGAGTAGAGAGATAAAGGTCGTCCCACCGAGAATATGAGTGATTTGTCTGAGTGATTTTACTATCTGGTAAGTTGTGGAGCTGTCTAAACCATTTGATATTTCATCCATGAGTAATGCTTGCGCTGGCCCAACAATCATCTCACCTATATAAAAACAATATTTTGAATTAATGACTATGATCAATTAGTTATTGGGGCATTTACATACATAGCATACAATTCTTATTTATTTACTTATCTCACTCCTTAACTTTCATATGTACACACATATCACTCAAATCTTTAATTTCACATAAAAAATAACACTATTGTCCCTTTTAAAAGTGACATACACCTTTTCATGAACAGTTTTAAACTGCCAGTAACAAAGTTTAGGTGTGAAACACACACACACACACACACACACACACACATATATATATATATTAAAAGGATTGATTGGAGGCTATGATACGAGCCCTCAACCAACCTCATGTGTCTAACCACTCGACTTATCTCCACATATGATGTTGGGCCCACCAACTTACCAAGTCGGTCGGAGGCTATGATACAAGCCCTTGACCCCAGGGGACTTATAACTGACTTTACAGATGCCAACTATAGAGTAGGGGAACGTGACACACACACACACACACACACACACACAGACACACGCACACACGCACACACGCACACGCACACGCGCGCGCGCGCGCACACACAGAGATGTATATATATATAAGAATTGTGTTATACGTATGTAAATTTCGCTTAACCATTTTTCCTCATAACTTCTGCATCAAGAGTTGATAAAATTTGATGTTTTACCTGTGGTGACACGCCTTTTCTGTCCTCCAGAAATACCTCTTATCATTTCATCTCCTATCATTGTATCGGCACAAATATCCAATCCCAGGATCTGTTATCAAAATACAGTAACATTGGAAGGCTAACTTGAATACTTTTTTCATGTAATTTTGATTTGTTTCTGCAAAAAATAATCAAATCTCTCTATGTATGTCAAATAATTTTAGCTACCTTCATTATGTAATCAGTGATTACTCCAGTTTTCTTTCCTTCTATTGATGTTGCCTGTAAGAGTTAAAGAGTTTATATTTAAGCTCTTGTTAACTTTATATTTGCAAATATAAAATTAACTATCTGACCTTCATGAAGACATCAATATCAGGATCAGGTTTGATATTTGCTGCCTTTTCTCTTCTTGAAAGTTCAGTTAACATATCTGTAATTTGGCCATAAAAATGAACAATCAACAATTTATTTCATGATTATTCATCCCTTAAGAACTGATTAATGTAGAAATTACCATATCGACATCCAACTCCTTGGCATCTTGCAGAAAACATTAGAGTTTCTCTCACTGTCATCTCTCCCATGTGGAGATCATGCTGACTTATATAGGCTGCTGTACGTTGTGGAACAAATTCATCCATTCCATGACCGTTATAGGTAACTTTACCAGAAACCTGCATTATTTTTGAAGAAATATGTGAATTTCAGCTGTTTTAAACCTGGTAAGTTGGTGGGCCAAACATCATATTCATAAATTTTAAATACCATTAAAAATTACAAAATTACAACTAGGAAAATTTATCAAGCAAAAAAAAGCCATATAGTATGTTAACGTAATGTCCAAAACACAATTTAAAGTAGAATACCTTGAGATCAGAACTTAGCTTTCCAGCAAGAGCTAGTAACATTGTTGTCTTCCCTGAACCTGGAGGACCGAGCAGCAAAGTCATCCTATGTGCCTTAATGATTCCACTAAGATTATGAAGGATGGTGAATGGCCTCTTCTTGTTTGGAAGTATGTGCAAATAATTGGCAATGGCCTGCATCAATTAGCCATGATAAAACTCAGAATTCTCTATCAAAAAGTTTGTCAACAAGGTTCATTGACTCTTTGTAGAGGGCTGTTTTAGTCCCAAAGTCTATAAAAGTGTTAATTTGGGCTCTGTTTTGGGCAGGTTATCCGCTGCGGTGACATTTTGAAAACCGTGTTTGAGCAGCTTATCCGCAGTTAGTTTTTACACACTAAACACATTAGTTTTTACACACTAAACGCAGAACGCAGATCGAATCCCGCGGTTCGTATTTCTAGATAATCGACTTATTTGGACAAACACAAGCTGCCCCAAACAGACTCTTAGTCGTCAGTCATTTTAAATGCAGACTAAAATAATTCTATTTGGGCACTAATTTAGCTCATATTGAATGAGCGGAGAAAAACGTAGGACTAAAATGACCTTATGTAAATAGTCAGGGGACTATATTGTTACTTTACTCCCATCAAAACTATGTATTAAAACTTCAAAAAACTAAAAGCTAAAACAACAGTGGTCCTCAATTTATATATACCTCTAATTTGTTCATAATTGCATTGAAGAAAGAAGGCAAGCTTCTGCTACCCACGGAAGCTTCTGCTTCAATATTCAGGTTCTCAAATCTCATCTCGATGGTCGGAAAATCAAGTCCAACTCTGCAAATATTATATTGTTAGAGAGGTTGTTTACATATATGGCACCTGAAACATTGCTATTTACAAATCTATCACCCTCTTTCATCCATTTTTTTTTCAATTTCACTCAAATATCAAAATTTATCATAAAACCCCAACTCATATTTTTCATTTAGCAACATTTCAATAATTTGTTCATGACACGCATAAATACATCAATTCTGGGTGCTATCTTTTATAAATAGCAAAGTTTCGTGTGATATGCATGTAATTATCCCAAAAAGAAGATAATTGCACAAAATTCTTTAGGAATTTTATTCATGTCAACCCAATCGTTAGCTACAGATGCAAATTTCACTATGATTTTATTTGTATAGTTTTGTCGTCTGATGTAGGAAAAACAAAATACAGTGAAATCCCCAAAAATACATGCCGGAGCAGTTTAAACACTGTAAATTTAGATTTTTACAGATAGTAAAAAAGTTATGGCAATCAAAACAGCTTGTTATTCGCGAACTGCATGTTGTTCGGCTCCTTAAATAGTTTGTGTTTGATTCGTTCACTAAACAAATGAGCCAAAAAACGAATAAAGATTTGTTCGTTTGCATTCGGCTTGCTTTGACTTGAAATAATTAATTTATGCTTGTCTGATTATATGTATATGTGTGTATAATTGATGAGTATTATTTCTAAATAATTTAATTGACTACAAGACTATAAAGATTTATAATCAAATACAATTATTAATTAAAAAAATAGAATCAAAATACATTAAATTCTATTTAAATGAATATTTTAATATAAATAATAAGATTTAAATCTCCAAACTCAATTCTTAATATCCTACGGCTGCGTGACTAGACTGTCAAAACAACTCATTGTTTGCGAATAATTCATGTTCTACTATCCAAGCAAACAAGCTGAACACAAATAATATTTTGCGCCCGATATATAATATAGGGCAGGGCTCGCTCAAGCTCGATTCTTTTACACCCTTAAATAAAACTACAAGAAGAAAATTAGGAATAAATTTCCATAGAGTAAATAAATAGATAAAAAATAATTAAAAAAAAAACTACTGACCTATCAATGCGATTCTTGAGCTTGAGCAGAAACCTCTCATGGTCCTCTTCTGCAACTTTGATCAATCTCTCAAGCAGGCTTCTTCTCTCCTGTAAGTCCAGGCTCCTTATATCTACCTCCTTGAGGTCTCCTTCCGTCCCGCCATGGCCATAACTCCCTTCCTGACTCTGTTATAAGTAGGGAGCTTCTCCAGCGCAGCCCAAATCAGAGCCTCCTCATCCTCCACCTCATTTCTCACATCAATAGATCTCGAGAAAATTTGATCATCTGCTCCTCGCCATGCTGATTTTGATCTGCTCATGCTTCTCGACGAATATATTTCTTCCATTTTATCTTCAGATTTTATGAATTATATGAAGCTGTGTGGTTTCCTTCTTCTGTGAACCAGAAGAAGAAGAAGAAGAAGAACAACGAGAGAGGAGTGAGGAGCGCCTAAATCCGTGCAGAAGAGCATTGTCTTCTGCCTGTATTTATAGTGTCAGTGGTTGGGTGAGAGGTGGGGGCTAAACATGACAAAATAGGGTTGTTTTTCTAATTAAAATTATGTTTAATTATTTTAAATTAATTACAGATTAAAAAATAATTATGGTGGGTGAGATGACGGGGTAAGAAAAAATAATAATTTTCTTACACTGAATACTTGGTTTGATAGAATCTCTCGGGGTCTCCTGGCTCTCATTGATGGCGGCGTTTGTTTGGGGATAAGAAAATACTTGATAGTAATTATCAGTTTTTAAAATATTTTTTTATTCAAAAATTACACTACACATTGTCAAAGTTGCGGGTGCGAAGGTGTGTTTTATAATTTGATCTGACTGAAATGTGATGACTATCAGAAAATTATGATATGATTTTTTTGGAAATAAAATAAATTTGTAATATCTATCACAGTTTTTTGAACAACAGTTTCTTCCGCAGTAGCTTCATATCTATTTCTTCAAGCAGTTGCGGTTGCCCCAAACACACTCTTAAGGGTCTGTTTAAGACAGCTGCAACTGTTTAAAGAAATAACCGTTAAGCTGGTGTAGAATAAATTACTTTTCAAAAAAATACGGTGACTATTATAATTAAAACAAGTCAAACCACTAATTGATTTCTGAGTACCACCACACTTAAATCAAATCACGCTACTCAGAAAGGTCGCAATTACCTTTTTTTTATTACAGGATTGGTAATTATAATTCTTCAAACAATATGATATTAAATATTGATTAAAGATATTGTTTTTAATCATAATTTTAAATTAAAATATAATAAAATTTAATTTTTCTAACCAACTTTTCGTTTTTATAGTGAAACTCTGCATTATTAATTCATTTTAACTCAAGTTAAAATATAATTAAATTTAATTTCTCTAACCACCTTTTCCTTTTTCTTATCGTGAGACTGCATTATAATTCATTTTGATTGAAATTAAAATATAATAAAATTTAATTTTTCTAACTATTTTTTCTTTGCTGTTGTGAGGCTCTTTATCAGTCCATATTGAAAGAAATAAAGCCAAGGTCTTGCTCTTCCAGTCATGTGAACAAATTTCCAAGTCAAGCTGTCTTTTTGTGGAAGTCAGCTATCACTCCAAACTAATAAATGTTAGAGGTTACCAAAGTGCCACGCATTCTATGCCTCTTCTTCCTCAACTAAATGTTTGAGTAATACTTATATTATAATAATAATATAAGAAGAAATGTTTGAGTAATACTTATATTATAATAATAATATAAGAAGTAATTGCATGAATATTATTACGTGTGGTATCTGTATGTGTGGATCTGTGGTATTGAGGTGATATTCGGTTGTTATTCATCTCAATACCACCCCAATACCACCTGATTACCACTAATCTGCACCTATTCTGCATCTATATCATCAACATGTAATATTTTTATGAATCTCAAGAGGGTCCAATGGTCTAGAATGAGAAAACGTTGGAGAAAAAACATCCCCAATAAGGAGAGCACGAGACCACTCGAGCTAAACCAACCGAGTCAAAAGCAGACTTGAGGATGACTGACCGGTACCAACCAACCAGCTCACTCAAAAGCTTACCAGGAGAGCATTCGTTCCTCCAACTAAGAGAAAGCTGACTCGATGCGGAAGTTAATTATGTGGGAGAGCTAATTCGACAGAAGAGCTGATTCCACAAAGCATCTTTGATCATCCTGCGGAAGCCAAAAGATTTCTTGTAAGAAATAGAATCTCCAAGCCAACTGAACTGAGCCGATCGAGCCCTATCGACCAGGATAATCAACCGAGCCAAGCCTAACAAGCTCATAAAAGCTGAATTTAGTAACATGCCAGAGAATAAATTCTCAGATATTAGATGCAGCCAAGTCTCATGAATGAATCATATTTGATAAATTTTATTATGGGGCATTTACATAAATACCAGCAATTCTTATGTATTTATATAATCAAACCTCAGAAGTTATAATGGCCGCAAACAGACCATCAATTAAAATTGACATCATTCTATAGAATTATACTAAGTGGGAACATAACATATAAAATATGAATATTTTCTTAAAAGAATAATACCAAAAAGCTAATATAATCTTAATTTTAAATATTATATAATAAAAAGATACTATTGTAATCATAATTTTAAATGTTATATAATGAAATTTATGTTCAAAAATAATATATGTTTAGACTCAGGGTTTGCTTGAGATAATTTTTTGTTTGTTTTATTTTTCAGATCGTCATCACAGTTCTGACTGAGAGCTATTTTTTGCTATTTTTCAGAAATTTTATGATAAAAAATTATTATTTTTAGCATGAACTGTTAAAATGTGATGACTATTAGAAATATGCTATTTAACATTTTAAAAATAAAATAAATTTATGATAAGAACCATAATTTTTTTAAAATTAATTTCTTTTATGAAAGTTATAATGGCTGCAAAGAGATCATCAATTAAAATTGACATCATTCTATAGAATTAACATTAGAGGTCATTAGAGGGCCAAGCGTCGCGTCGTGTGGGGCCTACGGATGCCTTTATCACCATTGATTTGATATAAAACTTTTTATTTTATTTTTTTGAATTTAGGAATATTTAGTTTCTTATCACTTCTACACATTTAACACAAATTTCAATATATATTTATATAAGGCTGATTAACAATTTGAATTACTGTTTATTATTGTGCACTTCTCTCTTTTTCTCACTTACTCTATCTTGTTTCACACTCTATTACTTGGATGTGATTCACAGACAAATCAGGATCCAACACCGAGAGAGATGTTGTACTTCATAGGGAGGTGTGAAAGAATTTTGTTGATGTGTCGTTTGATCCTATATTTCGTAGGAAGGGGAAATGGTTTTGAGGAAAGGTTTTTGGTTTGGGGGAGAGAGAGCTTGGATCAGATTCATGAGTCTCTCAGTGGCCTCATTTCTTTTTTTTTTCTCTTCCTCTCATACATAAGGGAAAATAAAAGAATTATAAAATTACACTTCGTATATTATTACATCTGTCCATAATGTCTTGATGAAAGATTGCGACATGAATATTAGGCGACACTTTAAATAAGGATGGATGCATTTTCTTGTATGTAATAATGATCTTCACTGGTAGCCTGTTCATCTCGGGCAAGATCCACCACTTTGGGAGGAGGGCTCACATTGACCACTTTGGTCGGTGGTTTTAGTTTGACCACATCAGTTGCCTTTAGAATTAGGATTAAGAATAACATGACTTCAGAATTAGGTCCTTCGAAGCCCCTAAGACCTATTGTTCCTTATGTCTGTGTGTGTATAATGGTGATATTTTTCATGTGATGTGAATCTTTTGAATAAACTAAATAGAAGAAGTAAAGTTTATGTGTGATATGTGTAAATACATAGAAATTTGGTGTATGTATATAAAAGCCCTTGAATTTATTAAAAATAGAAAGAATAGCTCCATTTTGCTCAGTCAAACTCAAATTTAACTTGAAGTCTTTGATTTTGAAAGAAATGACACTATATTTAATTCAACATCTTAAAAAACTTTGATGAGTTGATTTGTTTTATTATTATTATAATTATTGTTATATTTTTTGATCAATATTTACATACATACCACCTAATTCCTATTTATTTATATATCTAACACCTAGACTTTTATTGGCATATCTGCCATCTTATTTAGGCAATTTAGGCATAAAATTGTGTGTTTCTTTTTTTTTTTTGAAGTTAAAATAGTTAATTTTTTTTAATGTATATGAACAATTTGGGTGTCAGATTTGTAAATACATTTTCTGAGTTGACGCGGACTTATCCGGAAAAAAAAACAAGATTTGAAAACAGACCACACGTATTCGGACCAACTTCTACTTATTAGAATTTTAAATTTATTAATTTATTTTTAAGAATTTAATATAAATATGCCACAATAATTTTATATATTTAAATATATAACATCTAAACTTTAATTTTGTATTTATCGTACTATCCTATCATTTAAAATAATAATAAATAATAAATAATAATCATAATCATAATATTAGTAGATGTAGTTAATAATTGAGTGACATACATGAAAGTTTAGAAGTTAGAGATACAAATATATACAAATTGTGTGGTTTTTATTTATTTTACCTTTTTATTAATTATTTATATTTCACCATACCTTTGAATAAAAGAAAAAAGCACAATTTTAAATTTTGAGAGAAAGATGAGCCCAAAGGACAATATGCGTGACTCAAGCCTACAACTTTAAGAAAGGAAACTAGATTATCAACTACTGTGTCGCGGCATCAAATTTTTAACATCTAGTCAAAATATAAAATTTCATGCATAATTTTATCAAAATTTGAAAAAATCACTTTTTTAGTTAGTATTAAGTTTAATTTGAATATATATATATATATATATATTAAAGAATGACAAAAGACTATTATATGAGTCTCCAACCACCCTCATATGCCTAACTATTTGGGGATCGCTCTCACTGCCGACAAACTAGCCAGAAGGAGATTCGAACCAGTGGTCTGAAAGAACTTACGACCTTCAAAAATATTGCACGACATACCCAACAATAGACACGAACAAACACACACACACACACACACACACGAGCGCACACAACAATAGACACGAACAAACACACACACACACACACGAGCGCGCAAGCTATAATGCCCCTTAGCTCGGGGGGTTCGAATCCTCTCTGTCACAGTTGACCTTAAGGAAAACGTTGTATAATAGCCTCTAACTATTCCTTAGAGAGAGAGAGTATGGAATCTTTTGTAAGTGAGAATATTAGAGAGAGAGAGAGAGAGAGTATGGAATCTTTTGTAAGTGAGAAAATATTCAACCACTAGATCGCATTCATCTGCTGAATAAAATAAAATTTCCTTTTTCCCTAGAAATAAACCACTGACTCCAATCAGCATCGTAGATGCCCTCAACGCCCCGCAGCCTCAAACCGCGTCGCCCGTAATT